AATATAATAACCACAAAAACAAGAGTAAAAGAAAAAAAAAAACAATCTTATTCATGTGAAGGACTTTATTGATGCCAATTTGATGCGGAGAAAGGAAGAGGGGTTCTGGTGTGTCAAAAAATTGTCCTTTTCTGTTTTTTTCAAAAAAATGCCATAATTTTTATTATTACTGTAGTATTAGCAAAAGCATTATTATCTTTCTCTTCTCTGATTTTAAGCGTGGCTGGTATTTAAAAAAAAAAAAAAAAAGGGGTTCATAAAAGAAAGAAAGAATTCTGGTTTATGTTTATCGTCGTTCTTCATTAAAATCTATTCGTTATTCATAATTTTTTTCTTCTTCTTTTTCTTTTTCATTGACAAAAAAAAAAAAATCTTTGCAGTAGTTTGTTGCTGAAAGGAGGCATATCAATAAAAAATCAAAAAAAAAAAATAAACCCGTAATTTACTCCGAAGCAGCAGCAGCCTTAGCCTTGAGTTCCTCCAGCTCCTTAACACGGCGCTTGAAGTCCAGGTACTGGCATTCCTCATAGGTGTGTCGCTCGTGGGAACAGTTCCATGGAAGGTACCAGCCTTCGATGCGGCACTTGTTGAGGGGAACGAGCAGACCAGCGCACCGGTCACGGTATGGAAGAGGAATCTTATTGTCCTTCATTTCCTGCTCGGAAACTATACAAGGAGAAGGTTTAGTTAGCAATCAATCAATCAATCAAAATTAGTGGATAAGTGAAAACCCCCTTTAACTAGGGATTCGATTCTAAATAATTGTAAACATACGAAGAGGAGGTAATTCCTTGAGATTGCCCATTGTGTATGTTAGTTGTATTTAATTTAATTTGATTTGAAGGTGGGGGTTAGGTGATTTTCAAGTATTTGAAAAAGAGAGAACAGCCTTGTATTAGGGAGAATTTAGAGGATATGAGAGAGAGAGGGAGAGGAAAAAAAAAGTAAGAGAGAGATGGGCCTTGTTTGGGTGGTGGTGGTAGGTGGGTGGATGCAAGGATTTTTGTGTGTGTCAAATTGGCCAAAATTTTATTATTGCAAAGATGGTGATTGGCTCAAGAGGAGGTGTTTTTCTGTAGTGACACTAGTAATTTCAAGAAAAATAAAATGTAACATATCATGTGATATAAACATAAAGTAATATGTATTAAAGTTTATTTCATAAATATTAATCGTTCGTTTATTTTCTTATTTTCTATTTTTTTTTATTCTCCCTCCAAAAAAAAAAAAATTTACACATTTTTATTTCAATTTTTTCTTTCACCAAACTTTTTTTTTATTCATTAATTCATTAAGATATTTCCATTTCTAAGTTCTCTTATAACTCTCAAAGTTTGTCTTGAGAACGGGTCCTTATATATATTTCTCGCTGCCAACAAACTATAACTTTTTCTCCGATACACTCTTTATTTCTAATTCCCTAATAACAAAGTTATCTAATGTATATAGTAAAAAAAAAACTAACATCTTTATTTGAAACAGTGTTCCCACTTTTAGAAATAATATTAAATATACACAAATCTCTCGGTCTTTCCAGTTCTCTCCATTTCTCCACTTTTTTATTTTATTTTATTTTTTTTCAATGGAAAAGAACCATCGTGAATAATCTCATTCGAAATCTGTAACTTTACACACCCATGAAATATCTAACAAAAAAAAAAAACAAGAAAGAGTAAGTATACATTTACACTAATCACTAAGTTTATTTTCCAATTAATTGAAAAAATAAATGAAATACCATATTGATATCTAATTTCTAATATATAATGATAACGATAAATTACCTAAATATACATACACTTTTTTTTTTCAACATTCTGGGACTTGACCACTTTTTGGTGGTTCCAAAGAAACTTCCCGACGTTCTGACGCACATGAGCACCGCCTAAGCGTCCGCCGCCAAAAAAAAAAAAAAAAAAGAAAAATAAACCTTTTTGCAGATCCATATTCTTATTATGAATTGTTTAAATTTTCATTTTTATTTTATTTTTATTCTATTTCATTACCTTTGTCTCTTTTTATTTTTTATTTTTTATTTTTTATTTTAACATTAAAAATCTCTTACATCTTTAAAAAAAAATACCATCTCGATTACTCTTTATATTCTTTTTTCACTTTCCATTTAACATATTTCTGCGTCGACAACTGAATTCTATGTGCAGTTCATGCTCGTAGGGTCACGAAATAAAAAAAAAAAAATATTATTATAATAATAACAATAATGAAAGACAAATTAATCCAAACAACAAAAATTCAAATTTGAAGAAAAAATGCAGTTGTTACAAAATTATTATTATTATTATTATTTTTTTTTTTTGAAAAACGACGTGTCAAGTACGCGTAAAAATCTTTTTTTTTTTTTGTTTTAAAACCAATGGGCCGATCGAGTCCTGAAAAGATCTTCATAAACGGTAAATTACAAACAGAAGACTCATTGCGTATTCCAATAACAAGTTTTAAATAAAAATCTCCAAATCTTTTTTTTTTTTTTTGCATTTATTGTCGACATTATTTCACAAGTACTACCCATTCATTTTCTTCTAAAATCAAATTTCTTCCATCTTGGTTTGTATTTTTTTTTTTGAATTTCATTCCCCCCCATAATATTAGAAATTTACTAGTATTAAAAAACTTTTCACTGAAAAAAAAAAAACCTCTGTATTCTAGTAATGAAAAAAAAAATATTATGAATTCCATCGTATCTCAATTAACTTTTTTTTTTTTAAAAAAAAAGCTTTAGAATTTTTCATTTTAAAAAAATTATTTTTTACAACAAAACTCTATGCAACTCCTAAGCTTTTGTACCTTTTATATTTTATTTTAATATTTTAATAATACCCCTTTCCCCTTTGTCTATCTATGTACCTTATATCGGGGCTTGTTCCTTTTGATCTTCACTCTCTCCTAAAACTTCCCATTTTCTCTCTCTCCCCTCTCTTATACAGACGCAACATTAGATAAACGAGTCTTTACCACATTAGACTGCTCTTTTTCCTTGAGCTCTCCCAATTCCTTCATTAACTTGTCCCTCAACTCGCTAGCCAACTGACTTGCTTTACCACCAACAACACTCTTGGCACCAACATTTAATAACGACAAGTATGCACCGGCCGCAATTGCTGCCTCGATTCTCACACTCTCATGATTTGTATCCACCGAAGAGGTCGCAAGCAATGCTTTCCACACACGCTCAAGTGCATTCAAATGTGTTTCCGTCACCACAACCTCAAAAGTATCTTCACCACCACTGTTAGTCTTCTTCCCCTCTCCATTAGATTCTTTATTGCCTGCTGCTAAAATCAATGCGCTGTTGAGACTTGCAGCTCCTGCTGCACCTGCCCCTGAAACATTACCACTACCGGCATCTGCCCCTCCCAGGCACACCAAATACTCTTGCGTGATAAGCGAGGAAAAGTGTCGGGCCACAGCCTGCTTTGTTCGCCACGACACCGGCGCACCGCTCCCCACTTTACGGCGCTTAGACGCGTCTGCCGTTACCGACGAGTCTTGTAAAAGAACATGATTCAAATACGTGCAAGTCTTTTGAATCGTCTTCTCAGACTCGGAATAATATTTACGTTTCGCAGGAACTGTAGAGACACCTGCATTGGTGGTGTGAGATTGGTCCTTGCCATCGGCAGTAACCACAGTCTCCGAGGTATCCGATTTAGTGCTTGTTCCTGGCGTGCTCAGCACAAAACTTGAGACCACTGCACCCAAAACTTTGTTGCGCGTTTCTTCCTTCTCAATATCCTTTTTGGACAAAATCCCAGCTCCCAAATTGTTATTATTGGTCTTGACCTTTTCATTCTTCTTATCATCTTCGTCATCACTGCTATCATCATCCTCATCCGGATCCAAGTAAGTGTCACACAGCTCGTACAATGTATCGTATAACTCAGGCTGAGGGTAGCTGTGAATGTAATCTCCGAGCGAAACTAGGGCGTGGATCTGGTACTCTTTGTTTCTTCGTTTGGCTTCAGTAATAACAACCTATAATAGTTTAAACCAGTTAGTCTTTTTCTGCGCCGTATAGAAATGCAAATGCAAATGCAAAAGAAAAAAAAAAATAAAAAAATAATAACACAACTTACTTTATTGAGTTTTTCAATAAGCCCTGGAGTCATGGAAACATAACTTTCTTTAGCTTTCGATGCAAGCAACACTAAAGCACGAAGGACTTGTTCCTTTCCATTCCAGCTGCGACCAGTGCAGGCCTCAAAAAGCACATCAAATAGCTTGGCTACATCGATTCCAACAACACCACCTCCACGAGTCGTCAACAGATCATCGCTAATGATATTCGATGCATCAGCAACACTCTGAGCACATACTTGTCGAATAATCCACTGCTGTGAGCTCATGTGGGACCCTGCAAGCTCCAGGATTTCTTTAATATAGAGCCGGATCGCGCCCGAGCCTCCAGTATTATCACTCCACACCAATGCAAATTGCTCCTCAACAGACTTTTCCGAATCATGCTTTGCAATAAACACAAATGGAAGAATTGCCGATGCAAGATTTTGAAACTTATCGGCAGCATGCTTGGAAATTGCATTAATGGCTATGCCGGGGATCTTGCGCGCGCGCTCAGTCTCCCCTGTAAAGTATTGCTCCTGGAGATCCGCAATGTATTTTAGCGCAGCTTTGTCTGAGGCCAACCGACACAGGTATCCGCAAGAGGTTGCAAATGACTGCGAGATTGTATCATTGCGGTCCTGGATTTGGCGCTGCGACGACGTCAACAGCGTGTCTGCAAACGGGGCCACACTCTGCATATGCCGCATCGTGAGAGCCACAATAACGCGACTCGAAGCAACCTTGGACGGGAGACCCACCGACTTGCGAATAGCATTAGAAATGCGCGGCACCAGTGCAGCCATGGTCTCATTATCAGTGGCCTGGTCCACCAATTGCTCAATCGCATCCATTATGGGTGACCCACGAATGCTTGCAAGTCGAGAAGCATCAATGGCATTGTTGGTAAGTCCATACTTGTCGGCATTGAGCGCAATATAGTTGATTGCTTGTGGTTCGAGGGTCGACATGAGCAACAATAGTTCCTCGACCAAACTTGGGATAAATTCTTTGAGAGCAGCGCCACCCTTTTTGCTGAGCTTGATCAGTGTGTCAAGCGCAAAAGACTGGATATCCTGGGCATCCGACTGTAGCCCCTGGTGGCCCATCAAAAACGGAATCAAGTGCTGCAAGATTTGAGACGCGCGCTGCGGGGAGGCGCCATTTTCAATGTCAACGTAGCGTACCAAAGAAGTAGCCAGACTGCGCGTCAGCGACATACCCGCCGTGCGCACACTTTCCTTAATGTCATCAACTGATCTAAAACTCATTTGCCAAATCTGCTCGAGGTAGGACTGGTACAACTCAATTGGCTTCCCCTGAAGCAGGTCTGCAAGCGCAGTTGCACTGGCTTGTCTCACGCGCCATTCCTTATCACCCATACCTGCCAAAAGCTCTTTCAAAATGGCCTCAAAGTTTGTTTTGATGGCTCCTGCCTTATCCTTGATGAGCGCATCCCAAATTCCGCGCATCACTTGCTGCACGGAAGCGTTAGGGTCAAACCGGTATCTGTAAAGTTTAGGGACAAGAGACTGGGAAAGACGCTTATTGCCTTCCATCATTTCGTCAAGATTAGCCTTGGCCAAAATGCTTCCAAGACCAAAAGCAGCACCTTTCCTGGATGACCAAAGAGCCGAGTTTGCGGCCAAAGACATAAATCTGTAAATCAAACTTGGGTCGCCGAGTTCCGAGGCCAAATTCAAAATATCTTTGTAAGTTGATACAGATCCGTCACCAGTACTTAGTACACCTGGCTCAAATAATTGAGTATCTTCGGAAACTGAGCCGGCATTAACTTTGCGTGTAGAGTCTGCAGTAAAGGACCCAACAAGACTGCGAACTAAAGTGTCTTTGAGAGTAGAGTTGCCCATTTCATAAACCATGCTGAGACCACGGGAAGCAGACTCCTGGACAAGCTCGTCAGTTTCAGGAAGGTACCTCATAAATGTGACGTGAATTTGTTCAAGTTTGGCTTGAACAGGCTCAAGGTGGCCGCAGTATTGGAGCAAACTAATAAGCCAAATGCAAGCAAATTTCCTCAAAGCGGGTTTAGTGGAGCGAGTGCTTTCCAAGACCTTATCGAGAGTCTGTGAAAGGTAGCTGTTTTCAGGCGAAAGAGAGGATCTGGGAAGAAGAGCCTTGTCAATATCTTGAATATCAAGGCCTCTATTCATGACCTTGGAGTTCCAACCAGAAGCAATAACAGAGAGCGCTTCGCCAGAGGAAAACATGTACTCTGAGTGCTTGCTTTGAGTAAGTGACATGAGTTTTTCAAGGTAATATTCTTGTTCACCAAGCACAAAAGACGCATCGCTGAGTGAAAGGTATCCTAGGGCCAGGACAGATTTCTCGCTTTCCTTTTTGGTGGCTAGGGTAACAAGCTGCTTTTTAATGGAGTCAAAATAGGTGCTAGGCTTAGACGAGAGTGCACCATAAATGGAAAGCTGGGAAATGGCAATGAGGGCAGCGTCAATTAACTGTAAGTTCTTTGAATCAGTCAGGAGCTTAGGCAGGAGTTCGGAAAAGGATTCAAAGGTAGTTCCTGAGGGATCAATAGATCCCAGTTTTTGGCGGATATAGAGACGAGAGATGATGGTTGCTAATGCAATAACAAATCCATGGAGTTTGTCGATATTTCTATATGAGACGCTTTTAATTTCTTCATCGATAAAATTAACAAGATTTGTCAAGAGAGTTTCTGAAGATTTGTCAAATTCCAAAGAAGATGACGAAACAATAATACCCAAACCAAAACTGGAAATTTCACGAATCTTCACCTTGGACTGAGAAAGAAGACTAACAAGGGAGTCAACGGTAGACTGGAGTTGTGTGACAATTTGCAGGGGGGATAAAGAGAGGATACGCAGCCAAACAACAGCACAGTTTTCAACCTCGGTATTAGCCAAAAGCAAACCGTCAAAGGCCAGCTTGAGAAACGTCAAGAGAGACACTTGATTGTTTTTTGCGACAAGAGCCGATAGATGAGATATTATCAAATTTCGCACTATTTCATCCATGTCGATTGCAGTATCAATGCGAACATCCCAAGTCTCCTCAATGACAAGGGCAGTTTTATGGCCTTCGACAGCTTCCATAATGAAGATGCGTTCGAGAAAAGAGACGATAGAATTGTATACAGTCAAGAAGTACCCATTAATAGTTGGTTCTGAAAATGAGTGTTGCTTAAAGTCTTCCGTTGTGGAGCTTACAAGATCAATCATTTCTGCAAAATCCGGGAACTTGACATCAGCTTCAGTGGCAGTGACAGTTTTAAACCAATAAGGGTGAAGTCCACGTTTTGCTTCTTCAATGACATCTGGTCTGTTTTCTTTTCTGAGGGCCAAAAGACAGAGTAGACGTGCATAGGCATCAGAAAAGGGGAAACTGCGGACTGCGACCTTGACAGCAATGTGCTTGGAACTGTCATCAGCTGAAGGATTTGAAAGAATTCTGAAAAGAGTAGACTTTAGGCCTTGTTTTGCAGAGTCTGGCAACTTGTCAATTGCTGGAAGAATTTCAGCGAGGGCTTCTTGGATGGAGGGTTTGATATCAGCAGTGTCATTTTCCAAGGACTGGAGCAAGAAATCAAAGTACTTTAGGTTTGTAAGAAGATTGGGGACTCTTCCAATGAGGGCACCAATTGCTTGGTATGCCAAGGGGCGGAATGCCATGGAGTGCAAGTCACTGGAGATGACACGGGGCCAGCCAGTTTTAACAATTACGTCACGGACTTGTTCTAGGAGTTCAGGGGCAAAATTTTCGAGAAGGTCTTGTTTTGTTTTGGAGGTAATTGTTCTGATGAAGGTAAAAGCCGCTTGAACAAGACGGTAATACTGAGACTTGAGAGCTTGGAGGGCTATGGAGTTTGGGTCAAGGTTTGCGGCATAGGTACTTTTTGCCAAGATCTGGAGAATATGGACTTGGAGGGTATTATTTACAGGAGATAATCTTTCAGAGCGGGATCCAAGAAAGAGTCTATATAGGGTCTTGATACGGTCTGGGTCTTCGAGGTCGAGGTTAAGTTTTTTAAAGATATTTTCTGCTGGTCTGTTGACAGCAAGGGTGGGATCATGGGAGGCGACAAGAAGTGGGAAATAAAGAGATTGTTCTGAAAAGGCACCGGAGAGGAGGAATCTAACTGCATGTTCTTTTGCTTGAATAAAAGAAGAGGTGGTAAATGTTTCCTTTGAATCTTGGGTAAGGAAAGTACAATCAGCTGGGGTAAGACCAGGGCTGCGGAAGGGGGGTTTGGTTGATGGGGATTGGATGATGTTAAGGTCGAGAAGAAAGAGCAGGGTGAATTTTTGGGAAAGGTATGATTCACTTTCTGGAGAGGTATCAAAGCCAAAAGTTGACTTAAGGTTGTCAGCCTCGGTGGTTCCTCTTTCTGGGAGCTTTAAGCTTGGGAGGAGGTTAAGGAGAATGTTGAAGAGGGTACCAGCATGAGCGTCTGAAAGACCAGCAATGCTGGAGACAACTAGAGGGACCAATTCGGATTGGTTCTAAGCAAAAAAAAAAAAAAAAAGTTAGATAATGATGGCGGAAAAAAAATAAAAAAAAAATAAAAAACATACTTCAGCTGGGAGTCTTTTTACGCCCATTTTAATGTACATAAGGGCAAAAGATCTGAGCATACTAAGATCACTGCCTGCAGGGACTTTTGGGTTATGTAAGAGTTGCAGAAGAGCTTTGACGGGGAGCTGAGTTGTTCTAAAAAAAAAAAAAAAAAAAAGGATTAGTTAGATAAATAAATGATGAGTAAATTATTTTTAAAAATTGGACTTACGTTGAATTGATACGGATATTAATATGTTGGCAAATTTCAACTACTTTTTCACGGACCTGAGGGTGTGGAGAGGCCAGTTTAAGGAGCATTGGGGGGAGGAATGAAGTGATCATTGCCCCTAGTTTTTCGTCTGTTTTTGCCAGAGCGAATCTTAGCTCGACTTTGTTTAGAAGCGAGAGATCTGCGTCCATTTATGAATTTTTTTTCCCCTCTAAGGTATTTTGTTTATAATATAAGTTTGTTGTTTGTAAAGTATTTAAGGATAAGGATAGATAATTAGATAATTAGATAGATGGTGATGATGGTGATGATGAAAAGGCTGATTTATTGGAGGTTGTGTGTGTGTATATTTTTTTCCAATTGTGTGTGTGAATATATTGTCAGTGGCGAGTCACGTGGACATTTTGGTATATTTACACATGAATACCTTAGATGCAATTATGGAGTGAAATATTTTAATAAAAAATCCAATCACGTGCTCCTTTTTCATTTCCGTTTAAATTTATTTAAAAAATTTTTAAAAATTTAAAAACAAAGACAACCACTGTGGGCACGTGCATTTTTATTCTCATAAAAAGAGTTTGAATGATGCGATAACCGGTCGTTGCTCTTCTGTTAAACAACGAAAAAAGAAATTTCTTTAAAGAAAGAATGAAAGAATGAAAGAATGAAAGAATGAAAAAAAACCACCTGTTTTATATAAATGATAAATGAATCTTTTTTTTTTTTTTTATTTTGTTATTAATTTCTTTTATTAATTATTATTGCACTGCGTGATATTGAACTATTCATGGATGTTTGTGTCCCGGAGAGCGCCGGTGCCTTTAAGAATTTCATAGTTTTATTTATTTATATTTTTTTAAAAAAAAAAAAAAGCTTACCTAATTTTTTTATTATTTTATTTTATTAAAATTTTATTTTATATAATAAAAATAACAATAAAAAAAAATAAAAAATATTCTCGTGCGACCAAATTAAAAAAAAAATAAAAAAATTTTCAAAAATTTCCCGCCATTTAAATTTTTTTTTTTTTTTTTTTTTTCTTTCTTTTTTTTACCTGGTTAGACAAAACATCTCCAACTTCTTTCTGGGAATCTATTCCCTCCAAAATCCCCTCTTTTTTTTCATCAAATCTAATTCTATATATATATATATATTTATATTTATATATATATTTATTTATAAAGAAAAACATTTCTCATCTCTAAATTTACTCGTCCAGTTCATGCCAGCGCATTCTGCCGCAATGTGCCTTCTTTAGTCCCACCCCCCCACCACCACCTGTCCCTTCTATTTTTATTTTTATTTTTATTTTTTTTAATTTTTTAATTTTTTTTATTAAATATTATTAAATTCTGCTTTATTTCCCCATATAAAAACATTTTTGTCTGCAGATTCTCCATATAAAAAAGAAGGAAAAAATTAAAAAATCTCTCTAAATAAATAAAAAAAAATTTCTCTTTTTTTAATTTTATTTATTTCTTATTTTTATAATCAATCCAATCTACTTAAGAAAAGAAAAGAAAAAATAAAATAAAACTTCAAATATGGTCGACCCAGAACCCTCCAGTGCAAGACAAAGCCTTCGAGGTCCAACTGTCTCCTCCACAACAAATCAACAACAGCAACAATCTCAGATTCACTACCATCATCATCATGCTTTCCCTATTGCAAATACAATCTCAACAGATTATGACCCAGACCATCGCTCTTATACCCGGCATACTGAATCTTCCCAATCGGCCCGCCCAGGGAAACTCCCATCCTCAACCCGTGGCCAAAGAAGTTCTGCCGAGGCCGGGTCTCTTTCCGAAATGGCAGCATATCTCTCAGCTTCTTCTTCCCTCTCTGGGTCAACACAACACCCAGGTGACCCAGAAGATGATGATGACGACGATGGAGATGATGACGATGATGATGACGACGACGAAGATGATGTTGAAGATGATAATGATACCACTGGCTCCGCAACCTCCGATGTTTCGGAAGATGTAATCAACACAAGTTTAGGTACTACAACAAATACCACAAGTTCAACCTCTGCAAATACTTTGATAGCAGCTATTGCATCCCCTCGGCCGGCATCTCCTGGCGCTCCTGTCCTATCTTCAACTTCACAACCGACTCTTTCCGTTGTCACGGGACACCTCCAAGCATCTTCTCACATCCGACCTTCTACTCAAACGTCATTTCCAACCTCTTGTTCTGATGCAATAATTACAGACTCGGCAACCATTGATGACCACCATCCTCTTACCCGTTCATCAACACGCTCTTCCACAAGCTCAGGCCTCCACAGCGCTACCGGACCAAGCCCCGTGCTTCAAGCTTCTACCACAGCCCAACAGCTGGTCCAAATCTCATCATCTTCATCCTCTACTGCTGATGACCACAACATGCATTCGAATATCAAACTGCCACAACCTCTTCAAACACCAAATTCATCTTCTTCATCCTCCTCCTCTTCTTCTTCTTCTTCAGCAACTTCCTCTTCAAAAAGATTTAGGTTCAAGCATTACCACAAGCCTAAGGTCACAGAATCCCCCAGACTTGTGTTTTTATGCCAACAATTCATTAATGAAGGAGACGCTGAGAGCTTGGCTCTTATTGCACGCCGTCGTGGACTCCCGCCAAAGCTGCGCAGACAGGCCTGGCCTTTGCTTTTGGCTGCACACCCTTATGTCAAGGAACCAAGTTTATGTGTCGACTCGATGGCCCGGCCATTGCCGGCAAAAGATTCGGTTCCGTCTAAACGCATTGCTAATGAAATTGCAAGATATCGCAAAAAGTTACAGCAACAACAACTACATCATCCGAAAAAACAACCCGTTTCTATAACGGGAGGCCCTGGCTCGGTCTATTCGTCTTCTGCTACCTCTTCCGCATCTTCATCGGTAGTATCTGCTTACCAGGCTGCCAGCTCCACAGCTGGGTCGTTGACTCAGAATCATACCCAATTACAACAAAAACTTCAGTTACAACAGCAGCTGCAACAGCAACAGCAACAGCAGCAGCAACAGCAGCAGCAACAGCAACAGCAACAGCAACAGCAACAGCAGCAGCAACAGCAGCAGCAACAGCAGCCGCAACAGCAGCCGCAACAGCAACAGCAGCAACAGCAACAGTCACAACAACAAGAATACTCGGTCGCCCAAAAATCGCCTCTCGGCATGCCTCCGCTCACACAAAGCTCGCTGGACACAGACCCGTGTAACTCAAGCACCGCATCTTCACCCTTTGTTCCTGCTCCAATCTTAGCTCCAGGTTTGGCCCCTGCTACAGCTCTGCAAATTCCTACTGCAGAAGACTTGGATATCCGCCGTGGAGCCGTGATTCAAGACGCTGTAGAAACTTTTCTACGCCGTTGGGGCCATATTATGCCCTACGATCCTGGCATGGTTTATACTGCATTTGCTCTGGCTGATTGGGTTGACCCGGTTCCCATGGCTCACCACCACAATCATCACTACAATCATCATCATAACAATCACCATAGCCTTTTTGCTTCTTCTACCACTGCCACTCCTTCAGTGGCTTCGGCAAATACATCTGTCCGCTCGGCCGTGGGAAGCAGGTCCGCGTCACCAGCACCCCCATTGTCTCCGGTTACAAACAACAATACATTTTCTTATTCTTCTTCTTCTCCTTCTTCTTCAGACAATGCATCTTTTTCTTTGCAGTCCCTTGAAAGCCCTGCCTATTCCTTTTCTGAGGTTTTTAATAACCTCATGCTAGTGCTGTGTCACACGCCCATAGATTCCGCGTCTTCAGCAGCATTGCAGCCAAATACCTCTACTACTACACTTTCCTCACCTACCGCTTTTAGCAGCTCGAGCCGCACTACTAGCAGTAACAATACTACTACTACTACTACCACAGCCAATAATACCACTTCTGCAGACTCTACGAGACGCACTGATAATACAAAGAGCTCTACTACAGACCGCATTTCGCTTTTTTTGACTGCGTTCCGTAACTTGCTCCCAGACCTTGCTGACCATTTTGACGAAGAAGACGTGCTTTCAGGTATTGGTGGCGACGAGTGGGTTCTCTACTGGATCAAATGGCTAGGTGCCAAAGTCTGGGATAGGCGTGATCGTGCCCGTATCTGGGACATGTACTTGGGTTGGCGCCCTACCTCTACTGCAGACTCGGACCACAAATTTAGTGAGGCTGTGGTTCGAACCGCTTATAAGCTCAATTACTCAAGCTCGTCATCAGAAAATGTCCAGCAGCAACCATTCAGCGAGTCCACCGACGGAACTTCAACCGTCATTTCTAGTCCGGCCATGCAGAATGATGTGGCCACAGTTTCCTTGGCTGGTGCTCTTGAAAGTGTTCCACTGGCCTCGCTTTCATTGTCTTCATCCTCTGCGTCGTCTATTCACACTCCAGCGTCACCGTCTAGTTCTTCATCTTCTCTATCTTTGAATGCAACTGCAGCTTCTGCCACCTCTGCGTCCACAGTGACACCCACTTTGGCTCCAGCTTCTGCACCTCCCATTGTTCCCTCATCACCGTCTGCGGTTGTTCCTTCTTCTCCAGCCACAATCAAGCCTAGTTTTGTGCTTGACATTTCGCAGCTTGAGCTTGAGCTTGGTCCGGACCCCTTTTGGACGGCGCTCGATACTCCTGCAGGAAAGACGCGGATGGAACCGTTGACGGAGCACTTGTTTGTGTGTATTGCACTTCTTAAGTCGAAAAACTTGACACTGCTGGAACTGGACCAATCGGAGATTCGCGGGCTGCTTGGAAGATTGTATCGATCAAAGGATATTGAAAGTATTATAAGTGAGGCAGGCGAGTTGTGGCGCAGCTGGCAATATGCGGAAGAACTTGATGATGTTTAACTATTATATGTATAAAAAAAAGAAAACAAAACGAAATTAAACGATATGATATGAAATGAAACGAAAAAAATATTGATATATGTAAGAGATTAAAAAAAATTGAGAAAAAAGATTATATATAATAACAATGAGAAAAAAAAAATATTAAAAATAAATGTGATTAAAGATTGAAAATTGGGGGTTTATTTTAAACGGGTTAATGCTTCAAGAGTATACTATAGCAGAGTATATCATTATATATCAAATACCAAGTACATTATGTGTATATAAGGAAATAATAAATGAATGGAAATATGTTTTTAACAAATTGTAAAAAAAAAAAGTGGGGCTAAGAAACAAACACAACAACAACAATTAGAAAAAAAAAAAAACAAAGATTTCCCACGACTTTGGAGACTTATTTATACTTTTTTTTTATTAATTTGAGGATCCACAGATTTATAAAGTAATTCAACTGAAAAAAATTTTTTTTTCTTGTTTTTATTGTTTTTATTGTTTTTTTTTTTTTTTTTATAAGGAAGAAAAATGACAATTTGTGGCCGGTGGCTGACCCACATGGTTAAATTGATTTGGTCACAATTTTGAAAAAACCTCAAAAGCCTCAAAATCATTTATTTATTTATTTGCATTTAGTAAAAAAAAAAAAAAAACTAAGAAAAGAAATGATTTTAAAAAAAAAAAAAATCAGCAAACAATTGCAAGTTTTTTTTGTTTTTTTTTTTCTTTTAAACTTATTAGTTAATAAGGGAGAGTTGAGGAAATAAAAATGACCGCCGGTGTATGATTTCATATTTTTTTTTTTTTTTTTTTTTTTTTTTTTAGTTTATATATATATATTCAAATTTTATTTTATTTTTTCGAATAACCAGACTGGTTGTTGGGTCACACGTGTGCCTAGTTCTGGATAACCAAACAATCTCTGATAATGAATTTTATTTTATTTTATTTTTTTTTCAATCAATCATGATAAAAGCAATCAAAGCCCACTTCTTTTCTCCTTCCCCCTTAAAAAAATCTTTTAATTATCAATTAATAAGATTCATAAATAATATATTTTTTCTAAAATCTTGTTACAAAAAAAAAAAAAAAAAAAAATTAGCAAATGTCAAAGCTTTATTGTTGATCTTATATATGTTTTTTTAAGCATACACTTAAACAATTCTAAGGCAAAAGATCCCGGATTTGCTCAGAAAAGTCTCCACTTCCAAGACGCTGAGCCCACCGTAATCGTCGAACTGCTTCCTTGTACAACTTCTCCTGCTCTTCTTCTTCAGCAAGCAAGTTTGCCAGCGAAATTTGAGCCTCGGCTGCCAATGCAAACACATCTCCACGCCACTCATTTTCCCAGTCATTCTCACTTTCCGTAGCATCGGCGGGCTCTGCTGCTACAAAATGGGAAACGGCCTGCTCCATAAGTTCTTTGGCTTGTGCTCGCACAACTTCTAACCGCTGAAGCACAGCCGCATCCACATCTTTTTCATTCTCAGGAAGCTCAATTACAATCTCCTCGTATTCGTCCAAGTGTGGACTCGCCTTGGCCGTGTAGTACTTGCCGAGCCCACGGTGTGCTTTGTGTGCAAGTGTCTGTGTCAAAACCCCAGATTCTGCTGTAGCTTTCGATTTTCCCTTGCCCTTCTTGTCAACAACTTTTGGTGCTGGGTTCTCTAGTCCCTTGAGCATTGTCTCATACCGGTCCTTACTCCAGGTGAGATACTGCTCCTCAATTGAAGACAAGGATTGAAGATCCTTTTTGGTAATCTTGATATTTTTCTTTTTATTTTTCTTGCTCTTATGCTTGTGCTTCTTCTTCTTTTCACCATCTTCCTCTTCCTGGTCTTCCAAAAGTGAAAGTGCCAATGGTAGACTCACACCAATATGGTCGCCAATCTCTAACAGAGTCTCAATGGCTCCCAATTCAAAATCAGAATATGTAGCAGCATCAGCAGCAGCCTTCTTTTCAGCAGCCTCTTCAGCAGCTTCAAAGTCCTTTAGCGCAAAATTGATGGGATCAAACAAATGACTGTCAAGGTTGCCAAAAACCTCAAGCGTGTCACGCTTAAGATGATCGGCAACTTTGGCCACATTTGCACGGGACCGTGTGAAAAGCAAGTCACTTGAAGTCGGGTGGGTTTCGAGACCCGTAGCAACGCGCTCAAGAGCTGCTTCAAAAAAGTCCGCTGGGGTATCATGAAGAGCCTTTTCCTTCTTTTCTACACTTGATGAAGTATCCTCATTATCTTTGGCATCTTCATCCACATCTTCGGCATCTTCGGCATCTTCATCATCTTCATCATCGTCAAATTCATCTTCATCTTCATCATCCTCTTCTTGTTCTTCCTGCATCAGCTTTCCCATGTTGAGCAACGCGCGCGCATAAATATTGTGAAACTTATCTGGGAGAACCTCTGGCAAGAGATCGATTGGATCAACTTCACCATTTTCTTCCTTTGTTTCCTTTTCCTTTTCCTTTTCCTCTTCTTCATCTTCTTCTTTTTGATCATTCTTTTCATTCTTCTTGCTGTGCATGCGCAAAATGTTGTCACAGGTGTGAATAATCATGCTGTAAAGCTTGCCATCTGATAACTGCTGCTGCTGAGCTGAGCGCGGGTTGACAACCGAGTCAAACATGGCGTAGAGTGAAGCCAATTCGTCGTTGGGATCAATGTCTGCATCAAACTCAAGCGCGTTTTCGGGCTCCGAGGGTGAAGTTTCGGCTTTGGGTGTCGATGCTGCGGACGACCCAGTGTCTTCCTTAGACAGCTTTTGTTTTTTTTTGGCAAGTGCAGCCTTGTGTAATCCCTGAGGTCTTTTGGCCATTGTGATGATATTAGGTTAGGTATTGATAGATATTTGAAATTGAAAAAAAAAGTAGAAAAGTGAGAGAAATTTTATGAAATGAAATAAAAAAAAAAAAAAAATTTTTTTGGTCGTGTAAATGCGTTCAACTGGGCAAATTTCCCCAAAGTCAGGCTATTTTTTTTTGCGTTTAAAAAAAAAAATTTTGTTGACAAAAATAATAAAATCCCAAGACCTTATTTTTTTTATTTTTTTTATTTTTTTTATTTTTTTTATTTTTTTTTGTTTTTAAGATATTTCTAAATAAGGCAGATTAGCTTGCTTCGGAACAGTTTGTTACATATATTACATTTTTTACACAAAGTTGTAACATTTTTGAAAAAAAAATCTTTTTTGTTACAAATTTGTTACAGTCTTTGTTACATATTTTACCAGCCACAATTTTTTTTTCATAAATAAAATTATAAAAATTTCACAAGCCACAGTGGCGTCGTTGTCCGCCGTCCCACAAAGCCCGTATTTGTGCTGACACAGCAGTCATCGATGAGCTGATTTCACGTGCGATTGCACAAGCCACTTGCGTGGCTGGCCGGATCATGACGATTGTTAATTCTCGAGCGGCAAATGGGTGTGTGAGGCGAAAAATTTTCCCCATACAGACAGAGTCATTCATGTTTTCTATATATATATAAAAGCAACTTGGATTCGCATATATATTATTCCCCCCCTTCTTTTTTTTATATATTTATTTATATAAAAATCCTTTCAAGTCTATCCTAATACCCCTTATACATAAATACAATACAATGGGATTGCTTACTTGCCAGGATATCAAAAACCAAGTGTTTTTGGTCATTGGAACCTCAGGACTTACTCTCACCCGAGTGCAAACCCTACTAGAGCATGGTGCTCATGCCATCGTCTTCACTGACATTGATCTGTCAAGTCAAGAATCTGTTCCAGCCATAACAAGCACAATTTCTGCGCAAACATCAGAAAAACTTGGTGAATTTTCAGCTGCAGGGAAGATTTCATGGGTCCAAGACCGAGGATTTACACTGAGTGATTTAGAGACTCAGGGGCGCAGCGAGGTTCGTGGGGTTGTAGACGGTGTATTTCTGACTATTCCCAAGGCCATAAAAGGTTCGTCTTCTACATTGTTTGTGGATGACTTGTTTCACAAGTGCGTGAGTGCACGGATACCAATCAATACGGCAGACGATCCAGAACATTGTACGTTTACGTTGCTGTCGACATTCACAAAGGGTGATTTCCAGTTGGGCGTAACCACAAGCGGGAAAGGATGCAGACTGGCCAACAGAATCCGGCGTGAGGCTGTGAGCTCGCTGCCTAACAATATTGATGCAATTTGTGAGAAAGTGGGTGCACTGCGACGACGAATCATTGCAGAGGATGAAAAGGACGAAGAAGCCGAACGAACCAAGAAATTAGAAGAAGATGAAACTGGGCAGGAGGATGATGATGCGGATCAAACAAACAAGTTTAATAACCTTGTGTTGGAGTTTAACGAATCTCACCAGCAGAAAAAGAAGCAACGTTTGCGATGGCTGTCACAGATTGTGGAATACTACCCGCTGGCCAAGCTTGCCGATTTGTCTGTGGATGAATTGTCAAAAGAATACAAGCAATACAATGAGCAAACAGCTGAAGTTGCAGCAGCAGCTAATAAAAGAGGCCGAATTGCGCTGGTTGGCGCGGGTCCTGGGTCTACTGGGTTACTAACCACGGAGGCTTTGCAGGCAATTAAAGAAGCCGATATTATATTGGCCGATAAGCTTGTTCCTGCTGCTGTTCTTGCGCAGATCCCCCGTGAGACACCAGTCCACATTGCGAAAAAGTTCCCTGGCAATGCCGAACGGGCCCAGCAAGAGCTGCTTGCACTTGGGTTAGAAGGCGTGCGTGCGGGGAAATACGTTGTGCGATTGAAACAAGGTGATCCTTACATTTTCGGGCGCGGAGCTGAGGAGTACTTGTACTTTGAACAGCACGGATATGCACCAACTAGCGTGGTGGCCGGTATCACATCTGCACTAAGCGCGCCGCTGGCGGCCCGCATTCCACCCACGCACCGTGACGTTGCAGATCAGGTTTTGGTGTGCACAGGAACCGGGCGACGCGGTGCGTTACCACGGTTCCCTGAATGGGATGACGCGCGGACGGTGGTTTTCCTGATGGCATTACACCGGATTGGCGATGTGGTGGATGCGCTTGTTGCCAAGGGATGGGACCCAGAGGTGCCGTGCTGTGTGGTGGAACGTGCGTCGTGTCCTGACCAACGTGTGATTCGTACTAGACTTAAAGATGTGGCCGAAGCTCTTGAGACTGCAGGTAGCAGACCCCCTGGACTGTTGGTTGCTGGACGTGCGTGCGAGGTGATTGTCAAGCTTGCAGATGACGAGCGGTGGAGAATTGAGGAAGGGCTGTAAATATGAGTGTCACGTGTTTTTGCAGAAACTTTGAACGGAGCACTTTTTTTTTTGTGAGGGTTGAATCATCTATCGCCAATTGATTGATTGATTGATTGAGTGGGGGGGTTGATGTGGAGGTGGTATTGATGTTGATGTGCATTTTGCATGGACCTAATTATTTTTTGGGCTGATAGATAATGGCAACACAAGCACACACACACATTTTTTTTTTTTTTCTTTTTCTTCTTCTTCTTTTTATCATCACCACCACCACCACCACTCAAACAATTATTTTTTATTTATAAACCAACAAAAAAAAAAAAAAAAGAATAAAGGAACTCATTTTTAGAACCCAGATATATAGACTTTTTAGAATATAATAACTTTATCAATTTAACAATGCTTTCCATTGCTTTGAAAGTCCCCAGACACTGTCAATTGGCATCAGCAGCAGCAGCAGCAGCAGCAGCAGCAGCAGCAGCAGCAGCAGCAGCAGCACGTCGCAGTTTCTCAAGCACTGTTACTACTCTGCAACATCCTTCTTCATATATTCCAGAGCCCGTTGGAAACAAAATAGCTTTTGCCTTTGAGTGAGTCATAAACTCTTTTCCATCCCCCATATATATACAAACTAACATTTTTTTTTAAAGCATTGATGGTGTACTGCTGCGAGGCAAAACTGCAATTCCAGAAGCAAAGCCTGCGCTTGAACTTTTGGCTGCTCACAAAGTCCCTTGGATTCTTCTCACCAATGGCGGTGGTAAGTCTGAGCGTGAACGTGTTGACGAACTTTCCCATTTACTTGACTTCCCTATTGCCGAGCCTCAGTTAGTCCAGGCCCATACACCATTCCGTGCCCTTGCACAAACTTACCACCGTATCTTGGTGGTTGGCGGTGACGGTGATAAGTGTCGCCGCGTGGCTGAGGAAGTATACGGGTTCGAAGATGTGGTTATTCCTGCAGATGTGGTACGCTCAGACCCCTCAGTATGGCCGTTCCACAGGTACTCTCCTGAAGAACTTGCCACCATAGCACGACCTAAACGTCTGTACGAGCCTGAGTCTGGGGAAGCTAAGATTGATGCTGTGTTGGTGTTTAACGACCCCCGTGATATGGGCACCGATGTCCAGGTTGTGCTTGACTTGTTGTTATCTCAGCACGGATACTTTGGTACTCGTCGAGACTTACACTTAACTCATAACAAAAACTCTCAAGTATCTGCGCCCACAATCAACGATCTGAGCATACCTTCTGTACCTATTTATTTCTGTTGCAATGATTTGTTGTGGGCAAATAACTACCGAATGCCAAGGTTTGGCCAGGGCATGTTCCGAATCACCATTGAGCGGTTATATGCGGAAATGACTCATGGAGCCCAGTTGAAAACCACAGTTATTGGGAAACCGTTTGAGCACACATACCGATACGCGGAGCAGGTGCTCAATGACTGGCGGGCAAAGCGGTTTGGAGGACAAGCAGCGCTAGGCCCAGAGCACACTGTTTTTATGGTAGGTGATAACCCGGCGTCGGATATCATGGGGGCCAATAACTACGGATGGTACTCGCTGTTGGTGCGCACAGGAGTGTTTAGAGATGAGGACTTGGCCACGATTGTTGCTCAACCCAAGCAGATTTTGGATAATGTTAAAGAGGCTGTTGAGTTTGGCATTGCCCATGGGCTTCAAGTTTAGAGGATTTAATGTGTTTATAATAAATAAAATAGAATGTCATCACTATTATCTAAACAAAGTACAAAAAAAAAATGAAATTAAGAGATGAGAAGGGGGAGGTTTGTAGGGTAGTTTATAAAACCCTAAAAAAAAAATAAAAAAGTAGTCGAAGTATATAAAAGTACAGAGACTAAGGGGGTGATAGGGAAAAGGTCCAGGAGATGGAAAGAAATTAAAAAGGGGGGAAAGGTGTGAGAAGGAGGAGGGAATAAAGTCGTAATCAAAAAAAAAAAATAATAATAAAAAATCATATCATGTCGTTAAAGAGCGTCAAGAGTACAATACAAAAAAAAGTAAACATCTCTAAAGGAAATTCGTCATCGTTAATGGGTCATCGTCATCGTCATTTAAAGCCATTTCAAAGGCCTTAGACTTTATTGGCGACAGTTTGTTCCGACTGGAGTTTGACAGCGTTTCGCCTATAAGAAAAAAGGTGTTAGTAGAGTGTTGTTATTTTTAAAACTTTGAGCCGCACGCCACCGCAAGGGGTAAAATGTGGTGTAACTTGAGTTGAGCAGATAAGAAAAAAAAAAAGTGGCGATAAAAGCGCACAAATTCTCAAATGACTCAAAACAAATAAATAAAAAAAGATAAAAAATAAAAATAGTACATACTCATGAAGTTGCTGTTTGCAGTTTTGAAGACCAACACAAGAATGTTGCTCTAAAAGACGGTGCTTTGAGCAGAAATGACCGTTGCAAAACTGGCAGTCGCCGACATAGCGGAGAGGAGCCGAGATACAGTTTTTAGCTGAACATCTCTTTTTTGACTTTTTGCTTGGAGATGGTTTTGTAGTTGTAGTAGTTGTAGCATTTGATGATGATGATGATGATGATGATGTTTCAGGTAAAGTAGTTGAACGACCTGTAGAGAAGTGAAGGGTAGACTCGTTTTGAATGGCATAGTCCGCCAAGGTTTTAGCATCGTCAAGAGGCTTACCAGCGTATATCAGAACTACCGAGTCGACTTGGATAGAAGTATCATGTGCTGCTAGCAGAGACTTGACATCTGCAATAGTCTTTGAAGGTTCGACATTGAGGATAAAAGCTGGTAAGGTTAGAATGGGCGAGTTTTTAGTAGTAGATAAGCAACAAGAGTTATTGCATGATGACTTACCCGAGCCAGCAACAGATTTGATAGAGATGGCGATAGTGGAGGTCATATTAGATAGATAAATAGATGATAGATATATTTATAATATAAAAGTGTAGATTATTTGGGTTGAGTTGAGTTGAGTTTGTTTAAAAAAAGTATTGAGATTTATAAGAAAAAAATTGTGAGAGAGTTGAAATAAATAAATAAAAAAAAAAAAGAGAATATTTTAAGGTGTAAGAGGAAAGAAGAAAAAAATGTAAAACCTTGGGCAAGGAAGGATATTTATAGTGTGGAGAGAAGTTTATATAAAAAACCTTGTGTGTGTGTGTGACTAACAAAAGTAAAAAAAAAAAAAAAAAAAACGCTGAGCCTCGCCAAAACTAAAAAAAAAAAAAAAAAATTGATTTTTTGTTTTTTCTATTTTCTTCTTCCCGGCGGTGTCTATATAAACAAATTTATTAATGTTATTTATTATTACAATTTCCTTTTAATTTATTGTTAATTTTTCTTCTTTTTATTTTTTTTTTATTTTTTTTTATTTTTTTCAAATAAATAAAGAAAGTTTAGTCTATTAATGATTGATATGAAAGAAAAATATATAAATTTAATGCTTTTTTTATATAAAAAAAATACACATACGACTTTCCTGTAAAGACCTTTTTTTTTAAAAAATGAAAAATAAAAAATGAAAAATAAAAAATGAAAAATAAAAAATGAAAAAGTAGTTCATTTTTGTTTATTTATTTATATATTTATTTTTGATTGATTGATTGACTGATAAGAACTGTTATGTTAAATTCCATTGTTATCGCGCAATCTGCTTAAAACTAATAATACTGAATTTAATTTTTTTTTTTATTTTTTTTTTTTTTTTGACTTGCCTGAAATCAACATTATTTATTAAATAAAATAAATAATAAATAAATGCTTTTTTTTTTTCTTCTTCTTCTTCTTTTTCATTTTCATTTTCATTCTATTATTTGGCATTTATTCCTTAAAAAGGTTTTCTTTTTTTTTATATATTTATATATAATTTCATGCTTATTTGAAATCTTTTTTTTTTTTTGTTTTTTTTTTTCGTACTATATATATTTGATAAAAAAAAAAAAAAAAAAAAAAAGTCATAAACAATCCAAATAAAAGCCGCACACACCTTCATTTGTCTATTTGCCACCCAAACTTTCCTCGGCTGCCACAAAACCCGCCTGCCTTTGCCTGCTTGTCAGCCAGATGACGACATTATAATTTAGTCACGTGTCATACGGGTTAGGTCGGGTCGGGACTTTTTTTTTTTTTTTTTCTTCTTTAATTTATTTATTTTTTTTTTATGAAATAAACCTTATCACTTGAGACTACCTGCCTCTTTTTATTAGACCTTTTGAAAATAAAATGAAAATATATATATATATATATATAAAATAAATAAAATATCATTCAGACATCTTTATCTTCATTTTAAATTTTTTTTTTCTATTCATTTAATATCAATTTAAACCTTGGAAGTTTTAAATATAACAAAGAAAAAAAAAAGAAGCTCTTTGAAAAAATCAAAACGTTTTCATCGTATTAACAAATAAAAATATCAATAAAAAAAAAAAAAAAGAACTCAAGCTCAGGTCATATCATATATCATCATAACGCACTGGCTTAATATTGTTTATCAAAAAAAAAAAAAAAAAAAAAAAAAAAAAGCCCGATAATTAAGGCTCACTTTAAGTTTCTATTTTTTATTTTTTTTTCTCGGGTTTCTATTCCGGCTTTTACAATTTATAAATCTTCTATTTAAATGTGAGAGGCCTTATTTTTTTTTTTTTATTTATTTTTTTTTTTTATTTATTTTATTTTATTTATTTCAATCTAATCTTTTAATAATCATTCCTCTCTATTCTATTTATTTTTCACAAATACCCTAAACCCTAAACTTAAGTCTAAATTTAAACCTAAACCCAAGCCCAAACCTAAACCCAAACCCAACTAATAAACATCATACACTCCTATCGGTCGTCCCAAACGTCCGGTACCCTCCACCAACGCCTCCCTTACTTATTGTACCTTCCCCTAAAATGTCCGAAGGTGTCAATGCCGGCCTCAGTACAACCTCTGGTCTTGTCCCACCTTCAAAACCTGAAATTCCTGGACTTATCCCATCACCATCTTCAAATCTTCCATTATTGGTCCTCCTCCTCCTCCTCTCCTCTTCTTCTTCTTCTTCTTCTTCTTCTTCCTCTGCTTCTGCTTCTGCTTCAGCCTCTGCCTCCGCCTCCTCTTCTCGCTCTGCTGTAACCCCCCACAGCCGCCTCAATGATACCCCAAACAACACTGCACTAACACATGCAAACGCCGCAGCAAGCACTACTCCAGCCCCAGCTGAAATGTGCGGAGGCTCCGGGACTTGATCTTCAGGCGGAGAATGACCGGGTCCTTCTCCTCCCTCACCAGGCCCAACAACATCCACTAAATTTGTCACATATGCCCACACAGCAACAGCAAGTGTTAAACATGCCAATGCCACAGTCACACTCGTATATGCAACCCCAAGCACAAGCCACGCATGCTCATCTGTCCATTTAGACCCTCCTAGACTGTGAAGTAGTCTTCGCTTCCGAATCATCAAAAGCCGATGTCTCTTTGATTTTTGCCACCACCCTTTACCATTGCTTCGACTACTGCTTCGCCTACTAGTCGGATTACTTTCATTTCTTTGCTGTCCTAATCCAAGCTCTTCATCAACTATATTCGTCCTATTCTCCCCAGATACATCCTCATCAACAGCTACCTGGGGTACCCCAAGAAACCCAACTGCATATGCCAACGCCCACACTATCACACATACAAGTCCCTGTTCCACAGCTTCAATAGCCAATACCTCCTCGGCCTCGCCACCACCCTCGGGCACCCGACGGTTCCCCTGAATTACATCACGGACTGTCCACAGTGCAATCACTGTCATCAACAGCGCCAGCGCTGTCAAAGTCATGCATCCGCTCATTCCCGTAGTGGTTGAAGCTGCAGGTGATGTATTGGCTGTGAGATTTCTTGAGTCATCAGGAATTTCCGCAGTAGCTCCGTAGTCATTGTTGTCATTGTCATTATCATTATCATTATCATTATCGTTATCATTATCATTGTCGTCATCTGAACGGGGATTATGATGATGGGACCAAAAGTAATCACTATCGTTGTGACTATTGTCCGTGTATCCGTGGCCATTAGTTCCTGTGCTTTGTTGTTGCATGATTGTAGAAATTTTGAAGGTATTAATTAATAAATAATATATTTAACCCTTAAAAGTATTTAATGATAACTCAATGACAGTTTTTGTTTTTTATTTTTATTTTTATTTTTGTTACTGTTATTGGTAAAGGATAGATAGTGTTTGTAGAGAGAGAAATATGTTGTAAAAAAAGCAGCACTTTTGGATGTTATTGTTGTATGTATATTGTGAGATAAGATAAAGGTCTATTCTTTGGAGGCAAGTAAATAAAACAATTTTTTTTTAAGGTGTTTAAGAAGAAAGAAAATAAAAAATAAAAAAAATAAAAATAAAAATAAAAATAAAAAGAAGCCCTTTTAAGTTTAACAAAAGAAAAAAAATAAAATATTCAGGGGAATAAAAAAGTTCATCTGTTGCTGCTGCTTCTGCTGCTTCTGCTGCTGCCAAAAAAAAAAATAAATAAATAAAATAAAATAAAAGATAAACGATATAATTGTATTATCAAAAAATAAAAAAAAAATTAAAATGAAATAAGTAAAAGAAAAGAAAAATAGACAAATGGAAAAGTCGGGGGGGGAGTTTTTTTTCTTCTTCTTCTTCTTTTTCTTCTTCTTTTTCTTCTTCTTTTTCTTCTTCTTTTTCTTCTTCTTAAACGTCTTGGAATGATAAGTTTTTTTTGGTTTTTTCGATTCTCCGAGAATAATAAAAAAAAAAAAAAAACGTGACAGGAAATACAGAGAAACACAACAAGGGAAATAAAAAAAATAAAAATGAAAAGAATGGAATGTTTTTTTTTCTTTTTTTTGGAATTGTGCTTGATAAAGGTTTTTTTTTTTCTTTTTTTTATTGTTATTATTTCAAAAAAAAAAAAAAAAAAAAATGGTAAATATATCTTCGAACAAGTTACTACATCTGGTAATAAAGTAGCAAATTCTTAAGATCGATCGGGGGGGAAGAAAAACAAAAAACAAAAAAAACTTTTTCCAAATGAACGGGGACCTTTCTTTTTTTTTTTTTTTTTTTATCTTTTTAAGAATTTCAAGGAGTATATAAGAATGACGATTCTCAATTATAGAAAATAAAAACAAGAAAATTTTCACCAAACCCAATTTTGTATGCGTAAGTGAGCACATGTGTTTATATATATAGCACTATACTTTTGTGCACAATAGTAATGGTTAAATGGTAAAATAAAAAATATATTTATATATATATTTGTATGGTATCAAAGAATCGAACAAAGAGCCTGGAAATATATAGTAAATAAGTTTTAGAAGAAAGGTTTCTTAAAACTTTAACTTAACTTAACTAAATTTAAATTTAAATTTAACAAACAATAACAATAATTAAATAGTTAATCAAATATATATCTCCACTATCTTAACAAAACAAATGGGGTAAATAAATACTTATCAAAGTAATAAAAAAAAATTTATTTTATAATATCACCAAAAAAAAAAAGAAAAAAAAAGTGTTCTAGGGTTTTATTAATTAATCATTTGAATATAAATACCAGAAATAACGTCTATTCAAACTATTTGCCAATGTCCACTTATAATATCAACACCAAATATTTTAATCAAATTAATGGTAAATTAAAAAAAATAATTTTTTTATTCGAGTGAATTCACTAATTTAAATCCAAATCGGTTTTTTTTTTTTTTTTAAATTAAATAGTTTCAACATTTAAAGAAATATCATTTGGGTATCAATCAAATATTTCATTGATATTCAATTATCAAATACACTTAAAAAAAAAATAGTCTTTTAGTAACTATTTAATACTTATTTTCAAAATTATTCTTATATATATATTTTTTTTTATTTTATCATTTTTTTGCTTATCAATTCATTAAAAATCCCCTCTTTTAAATTTCAACTTTAACCGACCATCATCAAATATCCGGTTTTTTTAAATACATTCCTCCTTCTTCTTTTACAAGCTTTCTAGTTCAACACATAACCCCAAACATAAAAAAACAAATATTTTATATCCGCATGTTTTATTTTTTTTTTGTACCCTCTTATATTCTTTTGGTATATAATTGTTATTAGATTTTTATTTACAAATATCTAAAAAAAGAGGAGAAGAACAGGATGAGGTGGTGGTGGTGGTGGTAGTGGTGGGGAGAGATCAGTGTATCAACTATCGGACACGGCGGGTAACTAAATTTATCGGATATATATAGTTAATCTTAAAATTTTAATTATATTAGTCTCCGTGTTTATATTTCATAGCAAAAATGTATTATTAAAATAATATACATTAACTAAAGACCCCTCAATGGGGTCTCTTTCACTTTTTCTTGTTTCTTTTAATCTATCGCATGGAAAAATCTTTTTTTCAATAGAATCTTGTTATAGATGACGTCGCAAAAATAAATTAAAGAGAGAAAATAGTGGGGTAAGCTTATATATTTTCAAAAAAAAAAAAAAAAAAAAAAAAAACGGTGAGGAGATTAAAGGTAACAGGGCCTCGAGGGTGTCGAATAAAAAAATGTGAATGTGTTCAGTCTATAGGAATAAGTTTCTGTTTTGGGACAAAAAAAAACACATGTGTGTTATCCGCCAACTACCGAAGCTATAGTAAATTGGAGGGAAAAAAAAAATTTTAAAAGAAAAGAATATTTGGTGAACTCTTTTTTTTTTTTTTTTTTTTTTTTTTTACTGACAATCAATTGAATCAATTGATATCTTACAATTATAATGATAAATATGGCTTAGTTTTGATCAATTTTTGAAATAATTATTTTGATGATAATTTTTTACCAGTATCCTTAAACAAAATTAAAAAAAATATAAAAAAAAAACATGTGTTAGTTTAATTGAAGTTCATTTTATTAATTAAACGAAGAATAATCATTCCAATTTTGAATGGCTAATTGCGGATAATCAAGGATAATATTCAGCTTTAAAAAGTAAGAAAAAATAAAAATAAAAAGAATATTCATAATCATAATTATAATTATAATTATAATTATAATTATAAGCCTAAAAGATGGGCTCATCTTTATTATACCTATAAACCGTTATTTTTTTTTTCATTTAAACAATAGATATATTACCCCACAACAAATCCAATAAAAGTCCATGGGCAATACAGCGCCCAGTTTAACTATTTCTAGAAGCAGTCAATTATGATAATTCCTAGTTTCTTCTTTTATTTATGTCTCTACCCCGCAATTTTTTTTTCATATTTAAAAAGAAAACTTTGCATAACATACAAACCTTACACACATCATATTGAAATATATTTATTTCTTATATATTATTTTTTTTTATAAAAAAATTTTGCCTTGATATTTTTTTTGTTTTTGTTTCTCAATTTTGTTGTTGTTTTTTTTTTTAGGTTCTTTTTTTTTTTTTTTAAACCACTCAATTGAAAAAGTTAAACAAAAAAAAAAGACTTGATTTGATTGAATATTCATTCACCTAATTTGTTCTCCTCTATTTCCTCAACTTTTCCGAAAGTACCATAAAAACTTGGTGATACTATGTACATAAAAAAGTTTGTAACTATATTGTTTCTTTTCCATTCTTTGTAACTGAAATGTAGTAAACCTGTTTATTTGTTTTTTTCTTTTTTATATCCTTTTTTTTCTCTCTCTCTTCTTTATTTCATTGCTCTTTGTCGTGTAGTCAGTCTATTGTCAACTGGACAAAAAAAAAACATGTCACTGGGTACTATGTAGCAAATAGGAATGGCAATATTGCTTTCTGCCGAGACTTTTTTTTAGCAAGTAAAAATAAAAATAAAAATAAAAAAAGAAGAAAGAAACCTTATTCAAACTACTGAGAGTTGTACAATGACTGTTATTTTAATATTGTTATAACTTATCTTTAATTTATCAAGAAAAAAAAAATTCACCTTCTATTAATCAATATAATTAATACAATCATTGAATATCATTATATCTTTCAACCTCTTTTTTTTCCATGTTTCTTTAACTCTAGAAACTTCAAGTTCGTTCTTCACTTTTTTCCCCCCAAAGAAAGGACAAAATCCTTCACAAACTTAATACCACCATCACCACAATACCCTAACAAAGCCAGCCGTGTACCGCAGTGCCGTATATATATATATATATAATCCCCTTCCAAGCCGTGGTTCCCCAACGGTATTAGGTTAGTTTAGTTTACACCCGTATATTATTACGAGAAATTTTTCAAGTACCTACTTTTTGGTGGGGGGAGGAGGAGGAGGAGGAGGAGAAGGAGGAGGAGTGTGATCTGGAACCCAAATCAGGTAAAAGCGGCGGTCAATTTTTGCTCTTTGATTCGAATTCTTGGTGATGTAGTTTGTTTTTCTTCACTGAAATTGATCATTACTTGGTTAAAAGGCACACCGAAAGTTATAAGTTATATCAGGAATGGAAACTGAGACCTTTGACAGGAGAAAAAAAAGAAGAAGAAAAAAATTTTTTTTTTTTTTTCATTGAAAGGCGGGGGAGAGAATGAAAAAAAAAAAGGTCATCTTGACGGAAATTTGTATAGTTGATTCCGTATTAAATAAAAAAAAAGTTGGTGTTTCTAAATGAACCTTTTAAGATCTGGTGAAAATATCTTTTTTTTAAAAAAATTAATTTTTAAAATTTTCTATTTTTTTTTTTTTTTGTAGGAAATGAGCCGTTGATGGGAAATTTTAAGCATCAAGTTATAGTTAAATCAACAGTTACGCATATTTACAAACATTCAATTTGAGTTGGGTTTAGGCGCAGGCCGAAACCATTCATGTGGATAGAAAAAAAGAAAGAGAAATAAAAGCGCCACAACTGTAAATTTTTAAAGAAATAAAAATTTTAAAATTTCAAGCAGTTCCAATCGTTATTTTTTTTTTTTTATTTTTTCTTACTTGAAAAAAAAAAAAATGAATAAATGAATGAAGATTAGAAGTAATTCCAAGTAGAATTAAAAAAAAAATTTTCAATAGATCATCTAATAAAGAAGGTTGAGATTATCATTATTCAAAAATTCACTTTTGTGATTCATGTTTTCAATAGCCAAGACTGATTTCTTATCAAAAAAAAAAAAAAAAATTAAAGAGCTTAGACAAGAAAAGAAAAAAAAAACCGTTGGATTATTCACTTCCACGCGTTTCCCTTTTAGGAAACCTCATTTTTCTTTTCATCTCGTAACTCTAGGCGACACAAATAATTTTGACTTAATCCACGGACTTTTGTCTTCACCGGCAAATCTCAAGAACTTCCATATGTCCATTTTTTTTTTTAACTTAGTTCTTTTTTTTTTTTGTATCTTATTCTTATTCTTATTCTTATTCCTTCTGTTCCGTATTTACTTAATCACGCTATACTTTCTAAATACTAAAAAATTTAAATATAGTAATAATCAAAGTATTTTTAATAGTCATGCAATCGGGATGATGGATTGTGGAAAAGATACAAACATTTATACTTGTCTAAAAAACAATCTGTATATTTGAAATTCCTTTAAATCGATTTATTCTCCCCACAAATAGATGTTTATCGATTTGTGTGTGTATGTATATATATTTATATCATGTACTCAATACTATAAAAAAAAAGTTTTTCAATCATAACAACTGGCTTTCCTTTAAAGTTGAACTAATGCCGAGTACCATTTTTTTTCTTATAAATAAGCTTTAAACAAAAAACAAAAAAAAAAGACTGCCGTTTGCTTAGCTTAAAATGCTTTAATTCCTGGGGTAAATTCTCTTGTTTAGGTAAAGAAAAATAAAAAGTCAAAAGAGTAATAAGAACAATTATTGTAAATTATCAAGTGGAGAAAGAGAAAGAGAAAGAAAAAAAAAATAAATAAATGGAAAAGGACTGGGGCCCTTTTAAATTACGTAACTAGATAATAAATCTAAAAAAAAAAAAAACTTGATTAATGCTGAAAAAACCTGTTTGTCTATTTTTTCTGGAAATTTCAAACACGATCCGGAAAAAAAATAAATACTGGTAGATTTCCACCTGTTTCAAAAGAAATTTTTTTTTTAATTCTTTTTTTTCTCTTCATTCTTTCTTTCTTTCTCAATATTTATCCTCTATTATTATATATTTTTTTTTTTTTTTTTTTTTTTTTTTTTGCATTTTCTTCTTTCTAATTGTTCATTGTCTTTTTTTTTTGTCTCCACTTGGTAATTTACAATACTTGATCTACACACAACACAATGAGCAAACCAATAATATTCTCAGACAAACCTGAGAACGACTTTAATGAAATGAAGTTAGAGGAGGGAAACATTGCTATCACGCCTCTCGATACTCAAGAGATTTCCTATGAAAAGGTGTCAAAATGGAACCGCTTCAAGAGCTCCTTCAAGACTGCTGAGTTTAGCGAAGATGAATATGAAACCTTGACTCCACTTGAGCGAGCTGCCCGCGCAACTGCAAACTCACCTCTTCAACGAAGCTTGAAGGCTCGCCACTTGCAAATGATTGCCATTGGTGGTGCCATTGGTACCGGTCTTTTTATCGGATCAGGCAAAGCTTTAGCCACAGGTGGCCCTGCCTCTCTCCTCATTGCCTATGCTCTTATTGGCGCCATGCTTTACTGCACTGTCCAAGCTCTCGGTGAACTTTCCGTTGCTTTCCCTGTTTCAGGTGCTTTTAGTACTTTTTCAACTCGCTTTATTGATCCCGCTTGGGGCTTTGCCATGGGCTGGAACTATGCTTTGCTTTGGCTTTCGGTTTTCCCCCTTGAACTTGTCGCTGCCTCACTAACTGTTCAATACTGGAATAAAGATATTAATGCCGCGGCTTGGGTCTCTATTTTTTACTTTTTTATTTTGGCTGTCAATTTGTTTGGCGTTAAGGGTTATGGTGAAGCTGAATTCATCTTTTCTTTAATTAAGGTTTTGGCAGTCATTGGCTTTGTAATTCTCGGTATTATTTTGAATTGCGGTGGCGGTCCTACTGGTGGTTACATTGGAGGTCTTTACTGGCATGATCCTGGCTCTTTTAATCACGGTTTTAAAGGTCTTTGTGCCGTTTTTGTTACAGGCGCCTTTTCCTTTACCGGTACTGAGCTTGTTGGTCTTGCTGCCGCTGAAACTGCAAACCCTCGAAAGACTTTACCCAGCGCCATTAAGCAAGTGTTTTGGCGTATCACTCTCTTTTATATGGTTTCTCTTACCATTGTCGGTCTTCTTGTCCCTTACAATGACCCCAATTTGATGGGTGCTAGCTCGGTTGATATTACTGCCTCACCCTTTGTTATTGCTATTAAGCGTGCTGCCATTCCTGCCCTGCCTTCTATTATCAATGCCGTTATTCTCATTGCCGTTTTGTCGGTGGCTAATTCTGCAGTTTATGGTTGCTCTCGTACTGTGGCGGCTCTTTCTGCTCAAGGCTATGCCCCCAAGATCTTGGGCTATATTGATAGAACTGGTCGCCCTCTTGGTGGCTTGGCCCTGTCTGCTTTTATTGGCTTGCTTTGCTTTGTCAGTGCTTCTGATGTCGAAACTAAGGTGTTTGCATGGCTGATGGCTCTGACGGGTCTTTCTTCCATCTTTACTTGGGGCTCAGTCTGCCTCTGCCACATTCGCTTTAGGGCTGCTCTTTACAAGAAAGGTAGATCGACTAAGGAACTGGCGTTTAAGTCCCAGGTGGGTGTCTGGGGTTCATGGTTTGGCTTTATCTTTAACTGCTTGGTTCTTATTGCTCAGTTTTGGACTGGCTTGTTTCCACTGGGTGGAAGTGGCGCAGATGTTACAAACTTTTTCCAATCTTACCTTTGCGCCCCCATTGTTATTGTTTGCTACATTTTTTGGAAGGTTTGGAAAAGACCCTCCTATATTTCTCTTGAGGATATGGATATTGACACTGGCCGACGCGAAGTGGATTTGGTTGCTCTTACCGAAGAACTTGAACAAGAAAGAGCTGAGCTCGCTGCGAGATCGATTTGGTACAGAACATACAAGTTTTGGTGCTAATTGCACGAAAAGTTTTTTTAATGCCTTTTTTTATTTAAACCTATAGTTACGATGTTATGAAAATTACTAATTGTGTACATGCTTCTTCTTCTTCTTCTTGTATAATTGACTCTGTGAATGTAGTTTACTTGTAACAATGGCTGAACATTTCTCAGTCACTTCATTTAGCAGCTTTGATAATGCAATAGCAATGTTGGGGTCAATGGTATTGTCTTTAAGTGGGTCATATTGAGCTTCAAGAAGCTCCTGTTGAATGGATTCTGCAATGCAATCAATGTCAAAATCGTCATCTTCTTCCCTTTCTTCTTGGGTATTATTATATCTTTCTTCAGGTATTGTTGGGAGATTAGCCTGTGTAAGCAAATCATTCATGACATCAAGGGTATACCCGTAATTTCCCTCAGGTGCTTGTGAAAACTGGTAATAGCAATCAGCTTCATTTAGCGACCGTGTTTGATATGTAATAAACTCATTCATTGTTTTGGTAATATTATCCTTAAACTTAATTATCGTTGAAATAATTTGCTCGTTATCAACTTGCAAACCTTTAATTTTCTTTGAAATCCCGTCTAATGTTTCTTCTTGTGCCTTGTTGGTATTCGACAATAATAATGTATCTTGTTCAAGTCTGCCAATGCGAGCCTCAAGTTCAATATTACAATCACTACTTGGTGAAAGAGAGTCGCTGGGAATGCTTTCTAATTTTGCTGATTCTAACTCGCATGTTTCAGCCAAGCGAGACAACCCGTTTGTAGCAGCATTAATTTGATAAGAAAGTGGGGTAGTTTCAAGCATTATGAGAATAATGGTATGCTTGTAATTTTTTTTATTTGTTTTATATTTTTCGAAAACCTAACGTAACTATACGTGTGCTTTGTATTTCAAATACAACTGTGGTATCTATAGTTATTTTAGTTAAAAAAATTCCAAGGGTAGTAATGAAGATGGTGATGAAAAGGATAACAGTGAAAAGAGATGATTTAGGGTATTTAAATGAAATCCAACAGGCTGCTACTATTGAGCAACATGAGTCATGTGCTGTGTTTGATTCATCAGATGCATGGTACGGTATTAATTATTCTAAAACAGGGTTTAAAATCTACCTTCACTAGAAATTTAAGCCAATCAACTTTGATCAACTATCTTGAGTCCATTTTTTTTACCTCTCCTTCTTTCTTTCTCTCTTTCTGATTCTTTATCTTTATATACATTCATTATCAGTGTTTTTTAATTTTTTTTTTTTTAACAGTGCAAACAGTGTACTAACTTACCTGCGTCATAGGGTTGTGCATATTACACTACCACTAAAAAAACTGTCATTGCATGTCCTTGACTTTGGTCTTCAGCTTGTAATAAACAATCAAACACACCAAAACATCACAAACACACGAAAAAAAATTTTTTTTTGGTTCGCCAATTTTTTTTTTTTTAAATCTTTTCTCAACGCGTTTTTGGATTAATATTTTTTTTGGTCTTTATTCACCAAATTTTCTAAAAGAAAATTTTCTCCTTGTGTTCTAATATTTAAAAACAAGGTCACAGACAATACTTACGACTTTATCCAAGCTACATTTTTTTTTCCACACAAAAAAAATGGTTGGTAAACGTAAAAGAGAAGCAGTTTCTTTGCTAAAAGAGTCCAGTAGCAACAATAAGGTCTCTGGAAAGCCCATCAATAAGAAACCATCCTCAAAAAAGGTTACGGACGTCAGCTCCGAGCCTGATCTGTTGACTTCTGAAGAAGATGATGATGATTCTTTGAGTGAGGACGAAGAATCGGATGAAGAAAAAGTGGAGGACGAAGAGGAGGGATCAAACGGTCATGCTCAGGAAGATGAAATAGAAGAAGAAAATAAAAAGGCAGTCAAAAATAAGGAAGTTTCAGCACAAGATGTTCAAGCTGCTCGCGAAGCCCCAGAACTTTTTAAATCAAGTTTGTTCAAGCTCAAGATTGACGAAATGCTCAAAACTGTCAAAATTAATGACAAGACCACCAAGAAGATGGAAAAGATTTTATTCAAGCTCAACTCTCTCATAAAATCAATCGCAGCAACTGAAGAACTTTCTCTTGACGATGCCGAAGAAGTCATTCGAAAATCATCCACAAAGATTGCCATTCCATTTTCCAACCCCAAACCCGCTCGCGATATTAAATATTCATTCCAATACCTTCCTCCCGCCAGCGTCAACGTTGTAGGTGGCTTTTCATTAAAAACCATCATTCGACAGCCTGAAGGAAATGTTATCGATATGATTGTTGTCATGCCAAAAGATTTAATTCAATCAAAAGATTATCTGAATTATAGATACCTCCACAAGCGTGCATTTTACATTGCCTACTTGGTCAAGGAGCTCCAGAAAATTTCCTCACAAGAAAAACTTCCGTTTATATTCAGCTACAAGTATCTTAACGATGATCCGTTAAAACCTGTCATTCGAATCACTTCTGCACATGGCAAATCAGACCTTCACTTTGGTAGCTCCAAGTTTAGTATTCATATCCTCGTCGCTTTACCGCAAAACGCCTTTGATTACAAGAAACTTTCTCCGGAAAAGAATGCAATTCGCGTCCAGCTCCCACCATCCAAAGAAGACTTGACCATGCCTGCAACTCCCCTCTATAACTTTTCCATTCTTACTGACGCAACTTACACTACTTATAACGAGTTCCTCCACCGTGCTGTTATCGACTGTGAAAGCTTCAAAGATGCTTGTCAACTCGGTAGATTATGGTTGTTCCAACGAGGATTTTCCAGCTCAGCTTTTGCTGGAGGTTTCGGTCACTTTGAATGGGCCATGCTGACGGCCATTTTATTAAACGGCACTAGATCAGATACCCACACTTTATTAAAGGGCTACAGTAGTTATCAACTTTTTAAGGGTGTCTTGCAATTTCTCAGCTCGGTAGACCTTCAACAAAATGCGCTTTCGTTTTCAGCCCAAGAAGGACAAACTTCAAAGTTTAGTGCAAATGAATTAGATGTGCCTCTAGTTACAGATCGTGATTATTATACAAACATCTTTGCAAACGTTTCCAAATCAAGCTACAGTATGATCCGCCACGAGGCCTCCGTTTCCTGTGATTTGCTTTTGGATAACAGCAAAGATCGATTTGATTTCATTTTCCTTAGAAAATTGTTTGTTTCTGAGCTTCGTTATGACACTTATTTAACGTAAGTTTTTTTTTTTTTTTTTTTTTTTTTTTTGTGTTTGTTTGTTTACGAATTATCTACTAACTTTTACAGTGTCGAGCTTCCTATTCCTGACGATGATCTGTCTTACACACCTTTTGAAAAGATCAAATACCCATCATACAAGAGATATTTTGCTGAAAAGCTATTCAGAACTTTGAGTGATGGGTATGTGGGTAGAGCGCATAATATTCACATCACCTACAAGGAAACACCATACTGGGGGCTGGAAAGACGACGCATGCATGAGGTTAAAAATGGAGACACTGTGATGGTCGGTCTTCTTCTTGATGACCACGAATGTGAAAAGATTTTGACTTTTGGTCCTGTTCCTGATGATTCTAAACATAAGGAAGAAGCTCAAGCTTTTGCAAAATTCTGGGGTAACAAGTCTGAGATTAGAAAATTTAAAGACGGCACTTTGCGGTTGGTTGTTGAATGGAAACCTAATCCTCATCGCTTTATAGTTTTCAGCATTGCAAAGTACCTTGTGGAAGAGTACTTTGGCTCAGAGACTGCATCAACCCTGAGTTTTGGTAATCAGGCTCTTCTCGATGTTTTAAAGGTTCCCAATCTTCCCCAGGCTAACGCTCTTCGCGTTAGTGGAACCAATTTTTTCCAGCTGAAACGTGAATCTTTTGCTGCGGCTACGCAGCACCTTAGCGAAATGTCGCTAGATATTAACATGCTCATTAGTAGAGTATCTGAAGCATCTCCTTCTTTGAGGGACTCTTCCATCGTTGCACCTTCGCCGTTTGATATCGATGGTGATGACTGTGTTGCATGGGGCATCATTGAGTTTGAAACCTCTCAAAAATGGCCTGAAACCATTCGCGCAGTCGAGGAAACTAAAACAGCCTTTTTATTAAAACTGGCTGAGGCAGTCAACTCTGCTGATATCTACTCTGCAAGTGTAGGAACTGACCAGGGTTTGATTATGCCTAATGACAAGATTAGATTCTTGCAACTCGTTACACCAGATGGCTTTATTTTCAGATTTAGAATCAAGACCGAAGTTGACGAATATTTATATACCGAGTTTGACAAGCTAACAAATGCTACTTCTTACTTGGCCAAATATAACCGTCTTTACAGCGGGGTTATTGTCCACACCAGATCTATCTTGACACTTTCCAGACGATTCCCCTTCTATTCATCCGCTGTTCGTCTTCTGAAAACTTGGTTTAACAGCCATTTACTTACATCCCAGATTTCTGAGGAGTTGATTGAGCTTTTGGCTCTCAAGCCATTCCTAGATTCTGCACCTTATGTTCCCCCAAGCTCTCCATCTTCTGCTTTTTGCCGCACGTTGGAATTTATTGCCAACTGGAACTGGCGTGACGAGCCTTTGATTTTGGACATTAAGAGAATTGCAGACAGAGATTTGGAGAAGCAAGAAGAGGTTTTTAATAGAGCTTCAGCAGTTGAAGGTGTGCAAATGGATAACTCCAAATATCTTCAACTCTTGGAGAGTTTTAACGTGTTAAGAAAGTCTGATCCTTCTCTTTCTCACGCCACAATGTTTGTTGGCACACAAGATGACGATACTGGTATCAGGTGGTCACAAAATTTTACACCCTCTACTACCAATATTGTTTCGACTTCTAGAATGACAGCGCTTGCCCGTGCTGCTCTCAACCTTTTAACCAATCCTCGATTCACAGAAGAAGTCAAGGTTGCTCAAATTTTCAAGCCTTCTTTGAGTGATTACGACATTGTACTTCATGTTCGTGACCCGCAGTTTGGTCAAAACAGAAATACAAATGGAACTAGCAATGATGCAAGAGCTGATGAATCCAAGCCTCAAAAAAAGAAAAAAACTGGCGGATACCGAAACCTTCAGCTACTCACGTCATTCCCCTCCGGTGATGAGTTAATATACAAGATTAGTCGCCCCATCGAGTTGTTCTACAAGGATCTGGTTGAAAAATACAAGGACTCTATTATTTTCTTCCATGGATCTTTGGACTGCAGCAGTGCTCCCAGTTTGATTGCAGGTATCTGGCAACAGGGTATTAATGAACCTAAGCCATTCAAGGTCAACTTGGGCTATTCTACTATCCCAGTTACTGCTGTCAGTGATGGAGGCTCTGAACGTAGTGGAGGCAAGACCAAGAATGGTAAAGGTAGTAGTAGTAACTTGGTTGTGTTAAACAAGCAGGCTATTATGGAGGAAATGGAGCAGCTTGGAGGTGAGCTGATTGAAGAAATTCAGTTGAAAATGTAACTTTAAAAAAGAAAAAAAAAATAGGAAGAAGAGAGAGATTAATCTATCTTCAATTTCAATGACTTTTTTCGTTTTTTTTTAAAAAATTTTAGACTAAAATACAATACTTAAATACAATTATAAAATGATACAAATAAAAAAAAATTTAATGGACGTAAAATATGCACAAAAAGATGCAGTATCCATTCAAAATACGTAAAGTGGTGATCATTATTGGAGGATTTCAGTTAAATGTCTCAACACAATATAAATAAAATAGTTTTCGTCACAAACAGTTGCAAATTTTTGATTTAATTTAAAAAGAATATTCATCAAAATAACTACAGAAATGTTAATTTCAAAGCAAAAGCTTTATTTGTTAAATCATTTATTGAAGGTTGAGAAACAATGAGCATTCTTCTTGTCAAGCTTCGGCTTCACCTCGCGGGTTTACTTGCCATTTGTTCGTTAAAAATCTCGGAAGGAGCAGATTTAGAAACATACGTAATATTTGTATGCTTACTCACTGTGTGAAAAAATTAAAAATTTTAATGGCAGCTGAGTAATCTTTATTACGTAAATAGTTATATAATTTACTCAAAAAACCTTAGCACGGTTCGGAACTATGGCTATAATGGAGAACAAAAAAAATTTTAGGGTTCATGCCGTTTTAGGAGTATTATTGTACTCTTTTTCTTCCCTCTGCGGATTTTGTTATTTTTTTTTGTAAAATTTATTCAGTTTTCAGCTTCATATTATATTTGAATTTTAGGCAGCTGTTAATTGCTGGTCGGTGCTGCCTTTTTTATTTTTATCCTTTTCAACTACTCCAAAATGATTATTTATCAAAACGAGAAATATTCCTGGTATGTGTTAAATCTGATGTCACCAGAAAATATATATTTGCCTACTTCCTATTTGAGAAAATAGCTAACCATGAATCCACTCTCATAGTTTGCCCTGTATTCGAGGCCACAGATCATCAGCTTGTAATCACAGTAATAGAACTCTTATTCGAGTTCGAAGTAGAGGCAGACCATCGGTAAACGACAAGAGAGTTGCGATCCAACCGAAAAACAACGAAATTATCACACTGACAGAACCCCCAAATATTGCGTCATCTAGCAGCTCGAAAATTGAAAAAGCAAGTCAATCAGGAGGATGTCTATGTGGACCCAGGAAAGCCAGTTCTGTGGGAAAGTCAAAAGATTCTCATGCCGAAGCTGAAAGCAAAGGTTCTTCACAAGATGGGGTAATAACATCTTTTAAACCAATAAAACGGTGTGGGTGTGGCTGCAAACCTAAACCCAAAGGCGGAGTTATTACTATCAAGGGTGTTGTTGACCAGAAGTATGTTGAGGTTGGGAAAAATGGAGCCAGATTTTTGTCAGAAGAAGACTTGATAGAGGCTCGTAGAAACCGTGTTTTCAATTTTATATCTGAAAATCCAGGTCAAGAAAGTCGAAGTTCTATATCTGGGCCATCTACTCCTCGTTTGGAAAAGAAGAATGACTCTATTGTACGATGCTGTGGGAAAGAGGATTGCTTTTGTGAAAATTGCGATTTTTGTGGTGTTACCAGCATGGCTTCTTTACCCTTAGATTTTGATTCAAATTCAAATATTTTGAATTTCAACAATGAATTCAAAGAAAAGCCTGCAAAAGCTCAGTTGCCCAATTCAAACTTGCCAGTTTCTGATCCATCAGTATCTTCTATCCTTTCTTTCAACAAAGATGGTATCAATTTGAAACCAGATCAGCCTATATTTAATTTTAACTTTCCTCAAAATGTTCAATCAACACCACGGTCCTCATCCATTTCTGAATCTCAGTTTATTAATGTTAGTATTCATGATTACGGCTCAGAAGCTCAAACACCTCAATCTTCTGTGAGCCGGAAAGCCTCTTGTTGCGGTGGTTCAAGCAAACCTTCAAAGCCTGCTGTTCCAATTTCTTCCTGCTGTTCAAGCGGTTCAGTTGCACCAAATTCACGCTCCTCTTGCTGTTCAGGTAATTCGGTCGCTCCTATTTCACGCTCTTCTTGCTGTTCAGGTGGTTCAGCTACACCTATTTCAAGTTCTTCGGCGATTAATAACGTTAAATTTGTTCCACAAAAACTTTCAATGCCCAAAGGGTCCTGTTGTTCTTCCAAGAGTTTTGATACTAATGAATCTAGTCCTCTCGATATCAAAAATCTTAACGTTTCTTCACTCATAGATTCTGAATCATCTAGCACTGTGGATTCAGCACAAATGGCAAAACAAATCAGCGATTTGTCTAATTCTGGGTACATTCCTTCGCAAGATATTCATTCTAGTATTGGGAGTGTTCAAGACAGCATTTCTGCTGGTATAATAGCACCATCTAATGATTCATTACGCCCACCGAACTTCATTCTTCCAATGGGGTCTAATCTTGATGATGTTTTGTTGAGTATTTTAAGTACTAACAACAGTGAAGGAAAAGCGGAGCTTCCGGATTTGGTTTCATATCTGGAGAATGAGCGTGACAATCTTAATGAATTCATACCTTCGCCTCCTATGGAAATGACTGTTGCAGCAAGTTGCGTTTTACCTGGGCAATGTAAGTGTGACGAAAACTGTCGGTGCCCTGGCTGTTCTACACACAAAAATCCTCCTCAAAATCTTATGTTTTTAGGCTCGCATCCTTCGTCAATTGGGCATTCGACATCTGAATCTTCTTCAACTCCAACCTATTCTCACAATCCTGGGCTTATTAAATCAACATCAAATAAGGGCAAGGGAATTTCACAATTTAATATTTCAAATACTAGTTTACAACAAAATAGCGATTTGAATTATTTTGGAAATACTCAATTTGACATATCTAAGGAGGGACTTGGCAGCTATGTTTCTAGCGAACAACTTTCTCAGCAATCAAACAGTAATCAAGATGTGAACACTAGAGATTCTTTTAGTAGTGCATTCGATATTTCGTTACTTTCTTCTTCAAACATTATGTCACAAAATATTCAGGACAGTTCTTTCCCCAAGGTGACAAATGAACCTGGAGATACTTTATTTTCAGATATTTCTCAAGGCTTTAATAATTTTGACAGCATTCTTACACCAGAAAATATTTCGATTAATGAATCAAACAGCAATTCTTCTCATGCATATTTAGATTCGCAAAATCAAGTGCAACAACCACCTGGAATGTTCTCTTACACTCAATCTTCAAGTGCTAAAAAGCCTGTTCAAAACAATTTTTCTGGACCCACAAATACCAATCCATTATATTCAGCAGTAACATCGATATCAAATAACACAGTTTCAAGTAATGGTGCCAGTAAAGGGTGTCGCTCTTGTTGTTTAGGAAATCACAAGAAGACTATAAATCCTCCAGAACCCTCAACTACAGGTTTTAATGTTAATTCATATAGTACTTCGGAGAAGAATGGTCTTTCGGCTTCTGCTTTTAATGTGGATTCTTCTCTAGACGGTATCAGAAAGGATATGGAAAGCGAAAGGGCTTTAAGTCCTTCAAGCGTGACATCTCCTATCACTGCTTATGGGAGTTAAAAAAAAAAAAAAAAAAAAAAAGAGTACTAATATCTTGATGAATTTTATTTTATGATTTATAATATTTTTTGGTTCTTATTTTATCTTGTTTGTTCTTTTTATTTTGGGGTTTTTTTAAAGTTTTTTTTATTAATTAATGATTATGACCAAATAGTTCCAATATTAACTATAGTAAAATTTTGTAAATATAACACGTTTTTTATGATGAAACTCTATTGAAATAGGTATAATTAATCCGTGTACTTATGAATTCAAATACTTGTTGTTTTTTTAACTTCATTATACTAAAAAAGACAATAAGCATTAGCTTGTAATTTTTTGGAACAGGGATAAAAAAAAAAAAAAAAGAAGGTAGGTAGGTTTACTAAAAAGGAAGAAAAGCCCTCAAAGACTTTTTAATCTTCTGGAAATGCAGCAATATATACCCGCCATGCCTTCAAATACTTGTTGGTTAAGAAAAAAAGAAAAGGGGAAAGTATGGAAAGGTGCGCCTTATTTTGTTACTAGTATAAGCTTACTTGAAACAATTATCTCAACTAACTTCAATAGGTTTAACAATTAAACCAATATTCAGCTTTTAGATGAGCATTAGAGTTTAACTCCCAATTTCCTAAGTTCATATATTCATGCATCAAGAAGTATTGAGTATCGTGAGCTACATATTAAGTAACAAGCGTACAAAATTATTTAAAAATATTTTTGCATCTTCGTAATACATTCCATTAAAAAAAAAAAAAAAAGAGAAAAAAGAAAAAAGAAAAAAGAAAAAAGAAAAACCTAAATCATGAAACAAATTGGAGTTGGGTTCAATCCAAACTAATTCAGTAAAATTGGTTGCTTGCATTGGTGTTTGGCTTGATATTTTTGCTATAACTAATAGTGATTTAGTATTTTTTTTTTGCTTATTAATGATTATATTATTGTTATGTTATACTTGTTCGGGATCTTTTGAGCGCACCTATTTTGTTTTTTTGGAAGTTCTAATCTAAATTTAAACAAATATGCTTACTTTAAAATACATCCTTCAATGGCTGTGAGGTCAATCGTAGCTAATATAATGTTAAAAAAAATCTACAATAAAAGAAAAAAAAAAAAAAAAAGATATGAATACTATTAAAGAATATTTCTTATCTAAATCTATTTTCTTTCTATCAAAAGAAAACATAAGCTAGGATTTAAAAGTTTTTAAGCATGGTTGCAAATTTAAAAATATATATACGATATATAGATTGAAGAATTAAAGGTAGATGTCCATATTCTGTTTTCCCTATTTAATTAATTTCAGCAATGCTTGCTCGGCTTTTGCTTCAAATTTGTCAGTATGCTGTATTATTAATTTACTATCAAAAACATCCGAAAGTTTAAAAGTGAAGGTTAGGGTTTTTTCTACCCTTGCATTTCAAGTAGTTCGGGAATCTAGCCCCCATATTTTTGACACTTTAAATATACCCATTTAGAAGGTTATTGATATGAAAAGGTTAGGATAAAATACTTAAATTTATTTCAAGATATTGACTTTATATTTCTAATCTCAACTCATTTAAAAAAAAATAAGGTCAAAATAATCTTAAATTGTTAATGCTCAACATGCTTTAATAATAAGATAATTATCTCAAAAGGTGTAGAGAAAATAAAAATTAACTTTTTTTAGCCAATTAATTTAATAATTTTCTCGGAAACATATGATTGATCTGCTGCCTTATTCAATATTTTTTTTTCTTTTTTTGAGCTTGAAATGGACTTCTGGATAATTTCATATTTTGTCTAGTTTATTGATATTATTTCTTGTTTTTTTTTTATTTTTTTATTCAACTAATATGCCTTCTTAAAAATATATAATATTCTATTTACTATAAAGATATATATGTATGAATCTTTTATAAGCGAGTATAAGCGAAAACCAATAACTTAATTTAATTTAATATGAATCATAAGTTCTCTAAACTCCGCAGCTGAGCTTTAATACTTTTGAATTAATTGCTGTGGTTTGTTTGATTGTCTAAGGGTTGGTTTAATCTAGACAAAACTTTAAAAATCTAAATATGAATTTGAATATGAATACGAGTACTAATAATAATATGAATACGAATATTGATACAAATATGAATATAAATATAAATATGAATATAAATATAACATTTATAACCTTTGAATAAAAACAAACAAATAAAAAAAAATATGAATATGAATATGAATATGAATATGAATATGAATATGAATATAAATATGATTCTGTTAAATTACCTTTATAAGCTTTAAAAATATTCATTATTTGCTTTATGGTAAATTCATAATAATATAATATTAAGTTGAACATTGGATTATATAGTAAGATAATAATGGTTCCAAAACTACTTGACTTGTATAGGCATATGCAACAAAAGGAGAAAAGAACAACTCATGATCAATGCTAGAACAAAATATAATGAATAAAAAAAAAAAAAAAGAAAAGAGTACATTTTTATGTACCAATTAAATATATATAAATATATAAATAAGAGCTGACAAACAGTGCAAGCTGCAACTATCAACTGATTGCTTTGACTCAAAAATAAAATTTTTAGATTTAGTGCGACAATTTGGTTTTTTTTTTTTGGGTTTGTATTTTAACAATAAATATTAAAAAAAAAAAAAAAAATTCAAATTGTTTGCTACTCTTCCTGGTATTAATATTTATTTTTTTTGATATTTTTTGGTGAATTGACGTGGTAATTTTTAAAACTATGTAATTTCTTAAGGCGCAATGGAATTCAAAAAAAAAAAAAAAAATACTGTATATTAATGAGATATTAATACTGAAAAAGGATAAGTTTTTTTAATAGGCGTTTCTATACAAACTAATGAATAGCAATATTAAAAAAAAAAAAAAAAAAGTCCCATTAATGATTTAAGGTTAGATCTATGTTTATATATATATATATATATTAGGGTCTGTATGGAAATAGAACATTTATTGATTGCAACTAGAAGGAATTAAGTGTTTCTTTCGAATGTACGTTTTTTCTTTTATAAGGTATAATGCCGACTTTGGTGTTGAAAATTCGCACCTTTAAACGTTTTAATCACGAAATAGTCTAATATCCAAAAAAAAATATAAAGAATCGGATTAGTGTTGTTTTCCCAACTATATGGTTACTTCAAGTTCAATATTTTTGTTGGTGTTGTTGTTGTTGTTGTTGTTGTTGGTGTTGGTGTTGGTGTTTTTATTTTTATTTTTTTTCTTGAAAAAAAAATTTTTTTTTTTCCCCCCAAAATCAACTGGACTCGTATGATCTTAACTTTACATAAAGTTTTTCCCAAAGCCCCGGAGGAGAAGAAAAAAAAAAAAAAAAAAAGAGGGGGTAGAATAAAATCTTTAATATAGTTTATTACCGAAAAGTATACAATAATACGTAGTACCTATATCATTCCAGTTTAAATATTTCAAAATCTCGATCCTTGAATAGTATCAATGACATCCCAGTCTGGTCCTTGTCAAAATTTTTTCATTAAAATGAGATTTTTATTGTGAAATTAATGACTTTTAAAATAAAGAATATGCAGAATTAATGAATTAATGAATTAATGAATAAATAATATCATGACAAATGCATATTGGCAATCTAAGATTTAAAATCAGTTTATTGAACTATCCGTAATTGTTAATTTGTTTTGAAAAAAAAAAAAATTACAGCCGTATACAAACCTCAAATGATTTTTTTTTTTTTTTTTTTTTTTTCAAACTATTCGGATATTTATGCGCCTAGACTTTCAATCTATTTAAAAAAAAAAAAAAAAAAAAAAAAATTAAAACAAAACAAAACTCTATAAAAGAATTTACAATAAAATAATAAACTTATTCTGCCATATTATTATATACTCTTTGGAAAACTTCATTAAAACTGATCTTTAGTTAACTAGGTTTCCTTCTACGATTGAAAAAAAAAAAAAAAAAAAAAATTTTTTTCTATGAAAATAGTTAATGAAAAAAAAAAACGAACCAGCAATGTGGGTCATAATTCCTATCAACTAGTAAGTAGTCTTAACTGTTACTATCAGAAATCTCTAAAAAAAAAAAAAAAAAAAAAAAAATCAATTCAAATGAAAGATTTTCTTAATCAATAGATTTCCACTAAATACAACACACAACCCTAAACGGAGTAAGGTATCCAAGGCTTAAGATTCATCCTTTTCTTCCCTCCCACCCATAGCCCAAAGTTTAGGCTACTATAACCAGGGTAGTCTCAAAAAAAAAAGATTTGGAAATATTACCAGGGGTGGACCTTACTGGTAATGGTACTCAACCAATTAGCCACGTTATTAATCTATCTACTTTGAGAGTATTTTTTATTAGATCTGCATGCTCAAAAAAAAAAAAAAAAAAAAAAAATCATCTGATGAAAATCTTGTTAGTGTTGAACGACCTGGAGGAAAAAGTTTCTCTATTTTTAATTCCAACAAATGTGATCTGTAGTTGTAGATTCAAAGGTTAGCGAATAAATACATAAAAATTATTGATTTTAAATTTTTAAGATAAAAGAAGAAAAAGAAAAAGAAGAAAAAGAAGATTTCTATTAGAGTTAAAGTTACTATAAGAGTTGAACGAATGAGCTCTAGGAAGGATAAGAAGCCACAGTGAAACCTATTGGTATCTCTATATCTTAGATATCTATATCTATATATATATATACTAATTGTTAAACATAATAACTAGAAAAATAAAAACCTAACCACCTTATACCACGAGGTTAGGGTTGCAGACTCTATTAGAATCCTCCCCCAAAAAAAAAAAAAACATTGGGTAGAAGTAGCCAGTTTGTGTTATGCAATAGAGAAAGCAAATCGCTCCTATAAAATTTGTTTATAATGATGATGATGATGATGTAGTCTCGTTCCAGTCGTGAGCTCCTCCTCAACAATCAATTCATAGTCAGCAAGCACATATATTACTTATGATACAACTGAAATTTTTTGTTTCAAATACCCCTGATCTGCGTTGCCAATTGGAAATTTGATTTAGA